CACAATTAGGTGTTTTTTTTTTTTTTTTTTTTTTTTTAAGAGGACGTTGGATAGAGACAGTCTTGCGTTCTCACATACACCGTAATTTGCGATATAAAAGAAGTAAAATGAAAATCGAGAAAGCTTGAGTTTATATCAAGAAATAGATAGTAAAGTCTATAGATCTCGTTCATATTCCAAAAAATTTAAACAATCTAATAATACGTATTAGCCCTCGTTCTGTTTTCAATTATCCTTTACTTCAAATTTATTTATCGTATGAAAACTGGGAGGACTCTTAAATAATTTTATAATTATTTAAGATGCTAAATCTGTTTTAGGAATGGACCTGATTCGATCGTGGCTTTAACAGATTTAGCATCTTAAATAATTATAAAATTATTTAAGAATTCTCATTTCGATCGTGGTTTTTGAACGTACGAATCGATTCCTTGTTTATTCGCATGCGTAATGTAAAAATTGCTTATATTACATTATACATCCTGTTTTCTCTCTTTGTGCAGCTTTATCAAAACTCTTCTCGCATACGCGGCTACGTGCAGACCCACGTCCTGTCAATGGCCGTGCGAAAGTTTCGTTTTTGTCGACGTTACGCTCGAATTTTCTGACTCATAATTACGTCAATAACACGCCGATCTGCATAAAGGAAAAGAGCGAGTCTTTCTCTCGACGATGATGATGAGTAATTGGACTTAGGTCAATGGCCTCTCTACTTTTCTTTTTCTTTTTTCTTCTTTTATTATTTATTAAATTTTTATCTTTCCGGCAAATATAAATATTATACATAACATGTAAGTACGACAAATATACGTATATAATTGTGATATAATACGTATAATTGAGTATATATAATCGTAATAAATATATATGTAATTATACAAATATATGCGTTCTTGAATTTAGCAAAAAGAATTTCGCGTTTGTAGGATTTGTGTAAATTGTAAAAATGTTTCGCGATTTGTCATGATCTTCGGTAATGTAATAAGTATTATAGTGTCTCTCTATCTTGGATTCGTTTATGTTTTAATGAACTAGACTGCAGGTTTTCATGCGAGGTTTCATTTCTATTTTTGCGAATGTATAATTTAAAAATTGAACCTCGGTAGAAAAATTCTTTTACGCAATAATGTATTATATGTTGCTTTATATTTTGTGCATTTTTGTGTAACTTCAAAGTTCCCTGTAAATATACGTAAAAAAATCTGCAGTCCAATGATTATTTTCATCTATACGAAAAATCGCATCGGAGCAAAGTTAATTTCTCTCAAGCCTTTTACAGTCAAGCTGATATTTTTATGTATAGAAGAATATATTTCCTTATACGTCAGTCGATTATGACATTCACCTCTTGTTCCTTCCCTTCATTCTTTATAAAAGAAAAACATATTTATAAAACTTGCCTTTATCAAGCTCGCGACAAGTCTCACAAAATTGAAACATCTGTACAGAGCATTAATAATGATGTGACACACCGATCGATGTATCAGATTATATGCAATTAGAAAATGTACAATTGAAATTTACAATTACATATATATAATAAATTACAGTTATATATATTAACACTAGAACTACCACACCAGTCATTTTGACTGGTTTGACAACTTT